CCCCCCCCCCACGGAGAGCCGTGGAGGGGCCCCCGCCCCAGCTCCCCGAGGGCTGGGGATGCGCCGTGCGTCCAGAGCTCCCCCCCCGCGCGGCGGCGGGTGGTACGGCCCAGTGTGTCGCCGCGTGCTGGCGGAGGGCGCGGGCAGTGCGCTGGCGGCATGACGGGCAGGGAGCCGCTGGTGGGCGCCCTGAAAGGTGAGAGGCGGGAGGGGGCCTGGGGCCCTGCCTGCACCTCTGCTGCATGGGCCTGGGCTGGGGCAATGCTGTCCCCGGGGCGGCGCTGCCCTGGAGCATGTGTGACCCGCAGCTGGTGCTCAGCTCACCTGCCGCTGTTTTGGGGGCAGGGGCAGAATGGGCGCAGGGCCCCTGCAAGGTGATGGGGGCACGGGCCACATCCTGGGCTTGGCTTCTGGGGCCCGTAGCACCGTGGTGACAGGACAGCCCGGCTTTGTGATGTCAGCAGGGGGGAGGCTGCGGGGACAGCCATGGGCCCAGTGCTGGGGATGCTCTGGGGACCCCGCAGCTGGGGAGAGTGTCGTCTTCTCCCCATGCTCTTGGGGACCCCCGTGCACGTCTGGTGGGGGCCGTCTTTCAGCCCCGAAGGGCAGCTGGCCCAGTGCAGGATATAAGAAGGGTAATAACATGGGAAAGGCGCAGCAGACACACCTGTGTGTGCTGTACACACCTGCCCCTGTGTGATCTGAAACAGGCCAACACCAGCTTCCTGGCTTTGTATATACCCAGGGCGTGTGGAGCAGCCGCTGTGCTGACCCACCTTATCTGCTATGGCCTGCACAGACTCCCTATGAAATCCTGCCCCTGTGAAGGGGCCCTGGAGCCCAGTGGCTTTTAGAGGTTTTGAGCTGCTGGCCCTGAGCACAGGTGAGCACGGAGCTAACACATCCCCTGAACCAGGTGTGGTCGCAACAGTTCTGGACAAGGCAAAGTGTTTTCCTCCTATCAGCCAGGCTGCAATGATTCCCCACCACAGCTACCCCAGGTTGTTTTCCTTTCAGAGCCCAGTGTCTGGTTTCTCTTCCGAGGAGCCACAGTTCCACCCTGCATCATTAGTACTTCACCTGCTCCGTTCCCATCCTTAGGAACCTGCCCACTGGAGGGCAGGTCCTGAAAGTGTGTAGTCTCCGAAAAAGTGTCCTTTCTGGGGTGCGTGGCAAACCTGGTCTCCGTCTGATACATTTCGGGGTACTTTGGAAACCCAGATTCACTACATGTGGATGTGGGGCCTGTGCGATGGAAGGGCAGCACTAGAGTCCTGAAAGGGTGAATCAATGTTTGTGGAAGCCCAGCCTATTGTATTGTGATACCAGCAGGTTATTCAGCTCAAGAAGCTGAACTTAAGTGGCTTTTCCTCTCTGTGTGTGTGTGTGTGAGAGAGAGAGAGTCACTCCCTTTTCTTAGGTGACTGGGGCTGCCTGTAGGTGCCTGTTCAGGAGTCAAAGTGGTGGGGAGGAGACTTTTTGAAGGCTATACAGCATTGCTTGACAGATCCAGTGTAAAAGCTGCCCCAGCACTGAAGAATTTGCTGTCTGATTCAGATACAACATGGCAAAGGAGGATGAGATGTGGGGAGTAAAATAGGTTTGAGGAAGTGAGAGGTGACAGCAACAGAGGCCTGTGCGGTACAACTTTTGCTACTCGTTTGCTTTTTGTGCATACATTGTGGCCTAAATGTGGAAGCAGCAGCAAGGCTTTAGCTTTCTTGGCACCACCTGGCTTCTAGTGACATAATAGGTAAGAGGAAAGTACAGCTGGCTTTATAAAATCTGGTAGTCAAGGGACAAGCACCAACATGAAGGAAAGAAGGCTCTTCTCCAGCAGGGCAGCTTGAGTTTGGTCTTGGGCAGTGATCAAAGCATCCCTTCTTCCCTGGGGAAAGTCCTCTCAGCCTCTTCAGCCTGCTGCGATCCAGCTCTCCAGATGGTAACAGGGCTTACCCTTCAAGCCTGAGTGACTTGACAGAAAGGGGATGACTGAAATAAAGCTGCGGATGCTGATATGCCCACCTCCCTCCAGCAGAGAAGGTGAAATGGAGGCCAGCTGTTGTACCCAGTCCTGTCAGATATCAAGTATTCTCCGCAGCCCCTGAAGTCAAGTACTGGTGTTGTAGGGAAGGGCATTTTATGCTCAAAAGCTGGTCTGACATCTCTCCCAGCTATATAGCTGGTCCAATACAAGATATCACCAGGCAAATCTTGCTTCTCCCTGAAATCAAGGAGAGTTGAGTTAGCTTGGTCTTTCTCAGGACTGGACCATTTGTGAACACTGTTCTAGGGCTTCATGTCCTCAATGCGTTTTATATATATATATTAACCAATCTATGTAACACCTCTAGAAAGGGGCAAGCATTGTTATCCCGCCTCTTACATACAGAGAGGCTTAGGCCCAGCATTTAAGCCACTTGCCCAAAGTGTAACAATGGCCTATTGGCTCTGACCCCCTTGAGTACGGCTGAAAAGAAGAGTGAGTTCTCTTTCTTCTCAGTGTCTTATTTGACCTTATCCCTATAAGGGCTGGGCAAATGGTTTGACCTTGTACCTGGCCTGTTCACACATGGTTCTTCCACCTGGCATCTAGCAGACTGGGTGCTGATTCAATCTGTAAGCTCTCATGTAGCTATCATACATGGCTATCATACAGGGTAGCTGGCTCCTACCCTGGGGATCTTTAAGAGGAGGCTAGATGAACACCTTGCTGGGGTCGTTTGACCCCAGTACTCTTTCCTCCCGTGGCAGGGCTTTGGACTCGATCTGCTCAGGTCCCTTCCAACCCTACTGACCATGGAACTATGGAACTATACCAGTCCCTTGAGGGGCTGATGGTGAACAGGTGCCCTAAAGCCCTCTGCCTGCCCTTGTGTCCTCACAGTGTGCATCCTGAACCTGAAGGAGGGGAACAGCCCATACACAGATGCCTCGCCGCACCTCACCTCCTTCTGCGAGATCCTGGAAATGATCCTTCGGAAAGGAATGAAACGTGAGTAGCTGCTGCTGCTGCTCTGTGGAGGATGGGGAGGGGATGGCAGAGGGCGAGTTGGCATAAGCTCATGCCTGTGGTGCCTGTGTCAGCAGAGGATGAGTAGAGCTCAGACCTGACAAGGCTGAAGGGGTTTGTGTTGGTTGGAGAAGGTCATGAAGACTGGGCCTCTGTCTTTATGGCCTCTCAGAAGGAAGGGCTCTCCTGTGGTTCCTGTCAGAGAGTCTTTCTAACGGAGCTCCTCTTCTCTCCCTCTCTCTCTCTCCTACAGAGCCAGTCTTGGGCTTCAGGAGACGGGATTATTGGCATTGGCTAGAACAGCTTCCTCAGCAGGATGCTGCCAGCAGGTGAGCGGTCTCGGCAAACCCCCCCAGACAGGTTGGTTGTGCCCCAGAATCTGCCCAGCTGCTTCAGCAGTGGCATGATGGATACTGACTGTCTCCTGGAAGGGAAGCCCAGGGGTGAGAACAGGGCCCTCTCCTAGGGGACCAAGGTCTGGGAACTGGTCATTCCTCAGTGGCAGGTGCTGTTGTACATGAAAATGAGCAAGTGCTGAGAGTTAACTGTTTTTTCCCCTCTTTCTGCTTATAGGGTAACTCCCCTGTCCATCATAATAGAGAGAGCCAGTTCCTGCAAGAAGGTGCTGACAGCGCAGGGACGAGGCCGGTATTTCCTGCGCTTGGCTTTAAATGGAAAGTTACTAGCGACTGCTGTTCGACAGCTGTCTCGGTCTCCTAAGCTGCCAGAGGTCAGAAGAGCTTTCGGCATAAAAGCAGGGGGCGGGGGGAACCACTCTGGATGAACTAAGGGTGCGGGATACACAGCACCATCACTACGGAACAGCTGACCCTGGATTTTCATTGGCGGTAAATTTACTGTGTAGTAAGGAGTGGACACATGAGCAGCTCTCCCAAGCGGGATGCTGCTATAGATGCTATTACAGCACCTGGTCCCTGGGGGTGATGAGGCCAGTTCTCACTGAGCCAACAGCTACCCCGGTATAGAACTGAGCAGACCCACGACCCGTTCTAGTTTTTACTCCATAGTAAAGTGAGGTTGTGTTTTTCAAGAGGATAGCTGCGCCCTGGTTTTAAATGGCTTACTCTGTAGTCAGATGCCACATCGTATGTCTGCTGCATGTAGGAAACGTGCCATGTGTCCACACCTTTTGTCATCCCACAAGCTTCCCCACCCTCTGTCATCCCACAGTGTTTTTTGAAAATCTGGGCTTCTAATTCCAACCACAGAGGTAAGCTGAGGTAGCACAACAGTGGTTCTTAACCAGGACATTACCAAGTTCAGAAAAGTTATGGAGGGGCGACCTGAACTACAAAAAAGGTTGAGAGCCATTGGCTTATGGGAAAGAGTTCAGTTCAAATGGGTTTTAAATAAACCTCCATGCTTCTAAGGCAGGGGCGGGCAATTATTTCGGGCAGAGGGCTGCTTACTGAGTTTTGGCAAGCCATCAAGGGCCACATGGCCAGCAGCCAGGGGCAGATTAATATTAATTTTCTAAATTGTTTAGGGGCCCCATGGGCCAGATAAAATGTCCTGGCAGACCACATCTGACCCGCAGTCCGCATTTTGCCCACCCCTGTTCTAAGGTAAACCCATTCTTGCAAATGGGCATGGGTTCATTCTCCACTGTGTGCATAATGGATGTGTTTTAAAATGCAGCATGCTGAACCAGCTTGGGTCGAGTTTTCTTGAGTCTTGGCATGCCGCTAAATAAGTTTTTACATATGTTTCAGTTTTATGATCCTGTGACCTCAGTCCTGGGAAACGAAGATTTCATGGGTAAGGTAGAGACTTCCTGCAATACTTAGTAATGTCCTTTAAAACAAGTTGATATCTAGGTCTGAAAACAAAATCACATCTAGGCTATGCGCTGCACAGGTGCATCTATGCACCTGTGCAATGCAGTTAGCTGGAATAAAACCTACCATTTATATAGAGTTTCTGAACTATAGATAAGGGCGTATTATATATATTACACACCCACACACGACCTGACCCAACCTGACAAAGGGCATTTTCTGCCTGATAGCTTGTCTAACCTCTCTTCCAACTCTACAGTTGTTCAAATAAAAGAGATCACAAAAAACTCCTTGCTGCTCATATATTTCCTCACATCTACTGTCATATCTATAACAATACTAACCCCATTAAGTATGTAAACCTGCTCATAAGTTTACTACAGGTCCATCCTACAGTTTTTTCTTATTCCACTTATGGAGAATTTTATCTGGAGAAGGACTTTAAGATGGAAGCCCTTCAAAGGATGAAATGCAGCTTTTGTGGCCAGGATTGAACCTAATCCTGATGGTACTTCATTGGTGACAATGCTGTTTGCAGCAGGGAATAAATTTGGCCCATTTCATTAAAAAGTAAGCTTGGCAAGGACTGATTATAAGAAAATGATGTCTTTTAAAGGGTGTTGGGACTCGGGAGAGATGGCTTCTATGATTTGTCACTGACTTTCCTGTGTGACCTTTGTGTATATTTCACAATCTCTCTAGTCTTTAATTTCTAATATGTAACAATGCAGTTCCTAATACCTCCTTTCCCATACCCTTGCCTGTTAGATTGCAGACTGCTTAAAATAAAACCTAACACCACTGGATCTCAGTTCTGGATAAGCTCTCTAAGCACCATTGTAATGTGAAAAAAAATCATCATTGTCTTATTCAGATGCTAAGTCTTGTTGTGTTTTTTTTTAATTGTGCAAAATTGCATATTCATATAAATAACATCATGATCCCTCTTCCATGTTATAATAGTATTAGAGTAACATTGTAGCTGTGATGGTCCAGGAATCACGTGAGAGGCAAGGATTTTTGGGTTGGTACCTTCTGTTTAACTTCAGCCCAAAGATGCAGTTGGTCCAATAAAATATATCAACCAAAAAAAATATCCTTGCCTCTCTCAATAAAGCAGTTGTTGTATCTTCCACTGTACCATTTGCAGCCCAGATGTTACATTATGATGGTGCAGAGTAGAAAGCTAATTTCCTAGGTGGTTTCCCCCCACCCCACCCCAGCAGAACTAAGTGGTAAAATGTAAGTAAACTACCTCAGTGGTAGAATAAGAAATGTAGGTGTGTGTGATTCACGCTGAACTGGATGCTCTGGTGGTTTCTTGCCCTGAGAAGAAGAAACGCTGGATTTTTAAAAGTGTGATTTATTTTGATTTTCTTTTTAATGGGAGCATTTTTCCAAGTGAGCTTCAAGCTGTCAGATGTCTTTGGGGGTGACTCTTAACAGCCCGGCCCCTGCTGATCCCCTGCGAGTGTCAGAACTGGAATGCTTTCCCCGCTTTCGTAACTAGCTGCATTGCTTCCGACATACTGCGTGGCTCCATCTGCAACTGTTTTCCCAGGAGGATTGGGGCAGGGTGAAATCCTTTAATCCTTTGATTATGATAAATAACTTGAGTTAAAATGGTACCTTGGTGGCTTATAAATCACCCTGGACTTGTAGTGTAGTCATGAGTCCCCTTTAGTGCTAAAGCTGTAGCTGTATCAGAGCGAAAGAGCAGCCTTAGAGTTGAGACAGAACAGGGAGAAAGCTACTTGTGAGGGGTGTTTTCTGGGGTCCTGACTCAGAGCCCAGTGAAGTCCATGGAAGGAACCTCACTGAATTGGTTGAGCTTTGGATGGCAGTGTCTGGCCTTGGTTATAGGGGTTTTTAAGCTAACATCACCCCCCTTGTGCAGTTCCATCAGTAGTACTGAAATGGGGCTCCTACAGTGTTCCTGTGGTGTTTAACCTTGTTTGGAGGTTGCCTAAAGAGTACCAGCGCAAAAACCCCAGCAACTACCAGCACCTTCCCTACACTAGAAGTCTCTGTATCACCAAGGTCATGATTGGATCAACACTATGGGTATTGGTGAGGCCTGTGAATTGCATGCTGGGCCACACAGCTGCAGGACTGTGTTGAGCAGCGCAGCCAGCGGGGTGGGGAAAAATCAGCCGCTCAAAATGCAAGCGTGGAAGCCAATCCATGCCTCATCTGGAGTGCTTCTGATCAGCCATTTTTCTGTTGCTGTGCAGTGCAGCTGGTTGAAGTTGTTTGCTCTTAGGTTTTGGTTGGAGTCGCCATCTCGGTTTGGCCTACATGGCCATGAGTAGAAGACTTATGCTGGGGGGAAAAGCAAGGGGTTGGGAAATACCTGCTTGTCTCGCTACAGTCCCAATAGCCACCTAGTACTGACTCTTATCCCAGGAGTCTGCAACTGCTTGACACAGGGCACATACAGCAGAGCAGTGATGAGACTCTTGAAGAGACCTAGATGCTGCTTCTGACTTTGCTACAGCTTTCCTAGGCAGCCTTAGGCCCTGACCCTGCAATGGATCATATGTGGGTAGACTATCTTACCCAGCAGCACCTCCCTGCTTTGTTTCCACCCCTCTAAAATTGAGATCATCCTCTCATAGGGGTTACATCACCACTGACATTTACAAGGCTGTTGGAGATCTATGACTGCAAGGTATCCAGCACAGCCCTGAGGATCTAAACTCCCTGTCCCCACATCAGGGTCATGTCCTCCCTGTTTAATTCCACTGAAAATGGCTTTGATTATCTGAGCCTCTCGAGTGTCCCTGGGAGAGGGGTATAATGGAATGTATGGCTGTCGAGAGGCCTGGCAGTAATGTTGGCTCTTGGTTCCCCCCTCACAGAGCCCTTCCTCTCACTGATGCTGGTGGTGACAGAGATGAATTTCTCCTTGGATCTGCAGGTACAGTAATAAATTGTTCTGGGTGGCAGCTTTAATACAGCTCTGTGGGCCTAATGGAACTAAATGTCTAGAGGTCTTTCTCCCTTTCTTTGCCGCCTCCTTGGTGAAGTCCAACTGCTGTGCTTTGTTTGCAGAATTCCAGTTTCTTGGATGAAAGCTGGTTGCTGCCGGTAAGACTTCCTTCCTTTCTTTCTCCTGACTCCTCCCAGAGCAGGATTCAAGATTTTATTCTTCCTCCTCCTACCTGCTGTGGCCCCATGCTGAGTACCCAGATAAAATGGGTAAAGTTACAAGAGATGCCGTCAAGTTAAAAATCATAGGGCTGGGTGTGCAGCCAGTACAAAACTGCGTCATTCCATTGAAGCCAGTGGAGCTGCATCTGCTTCCATGGGCTAAGCATCTAGCCCATTATTTTATTCCTTAATGTAAGCCCAATTCTGTTAACACTTACTCACCTGTGTAACTCTGCTCCCAAGGGTGATCTGAAGGGCTGTTCATGGTCAGAAATTAGGTGGCAACTACATTTTTGCAAGACTGGGCCCTGACTTACTTACCATGTGAATTACAATTCTTTGAGGCTGCTGTAAAACGTGAGCTCCTTTCCATTATTGTTACTGTTGCTGTCATACTCTGCTTTTCTTTGGGCTTGGACAATGTAATTAGACCTTTGAGTTCCATTTTTGTTCCTCTTCAATTTCACATTTGTGTTTTGGGGGTAGGAAGCCACGAACCTGCAGAGAAGCATTAGTCTTTAAGAAACTGAACCCCCCCCCCTTTTCCATTGGATAGTCTTAAATTCATTCTATTAATCCATTTTTATTATTATTTTGCAAGACCTATATGTGGGACCACTTTGATCAGGCCTGCGTCCCATGCTAGTTGCTGTGTAATTCACTACACAGTGAAATCCTGGCTCCACTGAAGCCCAAGGCAAAACTCTTTGATTACAAGGGGCTTAGGGTTTCACTTACAGTTTGTGGCCATAAATTGCTAATGACCAAACTGACTGCATTTCAGGTTCCCTGTTCCCCTTAAACAATGTGATATGATGAAGTGTTTCTGAATGCCCATGGTGTGACTGGGGAGGATGAACACTTCCCAGCGACTTTATGTTCATATTGATGGGGCAGGGAGAAACCAATTTACAAACAGGTTGTATGACTTTTTGATCACTCCTCTCGAGACAGGCAGATTTGTCTTTCCAGGGTCTGCTCTGGCCTTGCCTGAGCCCCAGATTAGAGACCTGTGGTGGATGCCTGTGTGGATACAGATGGACAGATGGAAAGTTGCCTTCCCATAAGCAGATGGCTCAAGAGGTTATCAGTGGAACCTGGAACTGATCCCTTCTCTGTTCCTAGCTCAAATTAGCTAGCAACTGAGTGTCACTGGGTGGGGGGGGTGGCCTAGGCAGAATACATGAGTTTGGCTTCAATCCAGTTTCTAGTGGGATGGCATCTGCCTCAAAAAACATACCCATGGTTGGTGCCCTTGTTGGCAGCTTCAGCAGAGAACCCAAGGACTGGATAACCTTAGAGAAGATACCTTAGGTTTGAGCCTAGCAGATTCTGGAAAGAGTTCTTTAGGGCCTGTCATGGGGCCCTATGGGAAAATGTGCGCTTTTGGTGTGCCTCTTATGTCAATAGAAGATTGACATTGACATTGGCAACCAGGGGTCCCAATCTGGCACCTCTCAGTTACCTCAATTTTAATAGGGGCAAAATGCCCCCTTCCCATTCCCCTCCCCCTGTCCCTTTCAGCTTTTCTGAGGGAATTTCTTGAGCATTGTGGAGGCATTGCTGGATGGATGGTTGTTGTATTCCAGGTGTGTGTAACCTATGAAACAGTACCCTGCAGAGAACTGGGGATGGTACTCAGGTAAGACACCAGCTTTCCTCCTCCCTTCCCCTGCCCATGAGCAGCCCAGAGCCCATGTTACAACTGGTATATATGAAGCTGCTGGAAACTGCAGTCTTCCCTTCTCTTGCATTACCTCAAGCTTTACATAGCTCTTCTTTCTCATGCCCCTGGGGCCATGAATGATATTTCATTTGCCCATCAGAAAACATGGGTAATGATGGTTTATGATCTTCCTGGTCAGATGCACAGAGTTTGAGTCCGGACTGGTGAGGGGCCTTGTCCTGCTGATTTTGCAAGGCATGTTGTGATGGTGCTGGCCCTGGTGATGTCAGCAGAGTAGAAGACTCATGCATGGGAGGGGATGGCATTGTCTTCCCATGGTAGGTAGGCTCCAGATACTTGACTGAGTTATCTGGTTATTCCCACTGCGACTGCCTCATTGGCCTTGTCACGTGGTTTAGATTCCAAACCAGCATGGTCTGAAGGTGCTCCTCACATCCTCCTTTGAGAGAACTGGCTGAGATAGATCAAGTCTTGATTTTAGGCCGAGGAAGCTAGAGTTCCCAAAGTATTTCTCTAGCCAGAGGACTCCTGGGATGTTTTCATATAGTCCATCAGGCTGAATTCTGCATCTTGGTGTCTTCAGGTACTTGGAAGGTCGGATCTTTGTCATAGAGATGCTTCCTGAGAGCCAGGCGGTGGTGGACGAGGTGGTGCTGGCTGGTGATGTCATCGATGAGATCAATGGTATCTCACTGAGGAATGCATACAATGGGCAGGTGAAAAGTACAGGACAGCTCCTTCATTTTAGGGCTCCTGGGCCACTTAGTCCCACATGAAGTGAGAGCCCGCTTGTGAGAGCGTGCTGGAGGTTGACTGGCACCTGGTGTTAGTGCAGTACAGAAGCCCCAAGCAGTCCCCTGAGCTCAGTGAGCAGCTGAGGTGGGAGAATGGTTTGTCGGTGGCTTGTGGACAGCTCCAAGGCAGAGGAAGGGGCGGGCAGTAACACGGGCTGGCTATAGTGTGCCCAGCTCTTGTGCGCGCACCACAGGAAGGAACTGAGGTGCCCTTACCAATGGACACCCTTGTTCTCCCCTCTCATTCAGGCAGGGGCGGTGCTGCAGAAGCTGAAAGGCAAGCCGCTCCACTTCCGCTTAATCCGGTGGAAGTGGCACGACGGAGGGATGTATAAACCCTTGTTGCCCTACCTGAAAGTCCTGAGGGAGAAAGTTTCCGGCTTCCAGCTCCAGTATGATCACAGATGCAAAGAGAAGAAGGAGGACCGGTGCCTGCAGGGGGGCAGGTAGGGCCCGATGGGACCAATGAACACAGCACAAGGTGGCAGCAAGTAACCAGTGTGGGCACCCATCAAGGGGGAGAGCAGGACTGGTGCATGTTGGGCCACAGCAAAAGACCTCCATCGGTAACAACAGTGGAGCTGTCTACAGGCTCCCAGCCTAATGCTATTAACCCCTTTCTACCCAGGCTGCTGTACAACCTGCACTACCTGGGCCAAGCCAATGTAGGAAAGGTAGGCACGTGAATCTCATGGACTGATGAGGAAGGTTCCTGTTTTCCTGAGCATGTTCAATGTTTTAATATTTTCCCCCAATCTGCTTTCAGTATGGCGGCAAAGAGGTGTTGGACCAGGGTATACCCATGGTGTTAGAACAGCACTTACCGCCCCAGGTAAGTTCCCAGCTGTGACCTTGAAAGAATGAGAGAGAGGAGCTGGCATCATTCTGGGGCAGAGATGGATGATGTGTGGGTGTCTTTTTAAGGGTTTATCTTGACTTAGTTTCCCTGGCTGCTAAGAGCTAGGGATTTACCCTGCAACTCCTAATTTGAGGGTTCTTCTTGTCAGATCTCCTCACACCTCTTCATCCTTTTCTCCTTTGTCTCTGATCTTGCATAGTAGCACACCAGCCCTGTCCACTTTCTGGTAGTCAGATACAAATTCTAAAGGCTCAAAGTGGTCACTCCATTTATACCAGTTATATCAAAACTGGCTCATGTGGCCTGATTGTCAGGGCTGTGGTCCATAAGAATGCCCCTTCTTCAGGGAAGTACTGAAGTGCATTCTTAAATCTTGTTCAAGTTGGTACAATTTAAGTTTCTGCTTAAGTTCTATCCTGGTTTGGGGCCCCATGATTTGCAAAGTCTTTCTTCTCTGGAGAAATGCATTGTCAATTCAATCTGCCTCATTCATGAGAAGTGAAGAGCTGCATCTAGGTGAGAAGTGTGAAGCTCTGTAGATCTAGCCCTGCTGAGAGCAGTTGGCCTAAGGTAGCAGGGGCTGCTGGGAAAAGTGTAAACCACGAGGGACTTTTCATTTCCGAGCACAGAAACATTTAAAAGCTCTTACACTTCCCAGATTCTAAGGGCAAAGCATCCTTCTCTCAAGTGTTTCCATTTGCAGACAATGGATCACTCTGATCATAGGTTAGAGTGAAAACACAGCCTAGAATAGAAGGTTAGGGTCACTTCTGGAGAGGGTCGTGACATCCTTGGTATTGTAGCGAGGGCTGGCTTTCCCTTCACTTGTGCATCCCTTGATACTACAGCTGCTAGAAGGGATGCACAATTCCTGTTAGAGCCTAGGATAAGTTTTCCACTTTTGTATGTGAGTGGCAATGCTGGCATTTGCTAAGAAAAGAGAGGTAGTTGGCTTTGTTGATCAGAAGTCAGGCAGATGGCAGGGTAAATTTGCACCTTGTAGACTAAATCAGAGGTGTGCCACTTAAAAAAGTTTATGCTATACAGCAATGATTTAGTTAGTCAAAAATTTGCTAAGAAGCCAAGTCTAGCGTGAAGGGGTGTGTGTGTGTGTTGTATACATGTACATGCACGCACAAGAGAGCTTGGAAAAGAGGGGAAGGGGATTAGAGTGGCACCCGGGGAGGATGTGGGGTTAATTTGTGACATGCCTGCCAAAAAGGTTGGCCCCCACTGCCACAGGAGTGCTGAAGAGTAATCCCATGGCTGAGTCCAGTGAACAGACCCTGAATAAATGGACTTTGTGTCTGGAGAAGGAGAGAGATGGTCTGAATGAGAATCAGCCCCAGCTCTATTTATACTAACACTTCAATCCAACAAGCCTGGTGTTTGGGTAACAGGTGTACCAGTGTTGGCATTTACGTTAGGAAAGGGAGACTTTTGAAGCTGCCACTGCAACTTTGTAAGGTATGTGTAGGAAGGGCTCGGTTCTGTCCGTGCTTTCCTTTCACCCTGGCTTCTGGTTCATTTTGTCCTGGCTAGCGTGATCAACAAGCTTCCCCAGCGATTTTAGATTCTGGAAGGAATTGTGGTAGCAGAACAGAAAAGTTTAGGGGAAATGCAGTGATCTGCACAAGGGCACTTTGATCAGCTTGGCAAATCTGCAGGTTTGTGTCCTTAGTTGATGACTGTTTTGGGCCCCATTCTCTGTTGCCGTACTGCTTGTAAAGGTTTAAAATGCTGCCACACCAAAATGGGTGGTGGTTAACATGCCTTACAGGCTGGTGGAAAGATGGACTGCACCTCTGAATTGAGGCCTCTGAGTTTCCCAGCAGGAAAACCTAAGCATTTCCCTCACCCACCTCTGCCCATCTAGACCTGAAGCTTCCTCCACTGTTCCCAGCTTGGGCTCCGCCTGAGCAGAAGTCTAACAGATGATATTTGTGTGGCTGTTTTGTGATGCTGACAAATCTCCAGCAGAGACTAGACTTACTAGGATCATTTGCCATCACAACCTCTTGAATTTGAAGCAAAATCTGAACAGCAAAAAAGTTCATTTACCATACCCTGCACCAATCAGCCCTTTTGTCACCAGCTGTGGAAGGCTTCCGTATAATATATAGCACCTCCTAGCGAATTTTTCTCTTGCTCATGTCTTTATTAAATGCAACACCAAAAAGCTGTGATTGTTTTCTGTTTGTTTGTTCAGGAAGTTTTATTTGACGTGAAAGAAACCGAAGTCCTCATACAAGAGAGAACTTCTTCCAAGGTGAGTTGAGCTGAAATCTACCAAGACACTTTGGTTTGTATAAACGTAGATGTGCATCTGTCAGGCTTTGTGTAGTGTGGTTTTGCTTTGATCTGTGTTTAGTTATCGCTTCTCAGCCTCTTGAAGGCTCAGATCAAGCGTACTAACTGGACTGGACTTCCTCTGTACATGATGGTGTTGGACAATGAGAACAGTTTTGCTGCATATGTATGCTCATGGCTGCTCTGACTTTTCCATGGACTACAGAAAGTTTCTCAAGCTGTATTCTTGCAGTGGTTCATTTATGCCCAGAATGAGTGGACAGACTGTAGATCTATAGATATTTGACTGGATTCAGGATCCTGCACTGTCACAGCCTTGTTTCTCATCACATCTTTCTCCTGACTTACACAATAGGTTCTGCTCCACTACCCTTATCCAGAGATCTCCTGCGTGGGTCGGCGTTTGGACAACAGCAATCTCTTTGCCTTCTGTGTTGCGTAAGTGTCACTTGAGGATAAAGTGGCTGTCATGTTCCAGTGGCTGGGCTCCTGAATTCATTAGTTTTATGCAAAGCATTAAACAAGTCTCAAATAAAGAAGAATAAACTTGGAGGTATTTTGAAAGATTTGGATTTGTAATGCTTAGCTTGAATGTGTAGCAATCGGTCAAAAGGGATGTGCCAGGCCAGGGTCCCGTATGTACCTACCAGGGCTGTCAATTCAACTTTTAATGCCAAGGGAGTGTCTGGCAGAGGCTGCACAAGGGGACAAGCTCTCAATTGGGTTGTAATTTACCCAAACTACTATGCGGACCCCCTGGCTTTGCTGTAATGATCACAAGCAGACAGATACATTGGAGGTCGTGAGCTCGGGCTGTAATGCTTCCTGTACTAAAGCCCCATTTTGTTTTAAGCATCACCGTGTGTTAGCAAAATGAATTTTGCCCATTGATGGGGATTTTCCTTATTCAGGGTTTCACCAGAGATGCCTGAACAAAGTATCTTTGCCTGCCTCGTGTTTGAATCCAATTCTCAGGAAGAATGTGAAGAAATCATCAAGAGAATCGGTAAGCCAAGGTTTTACTGCTTTAGATATCAGTTCAGCAAAGTTGAACGTGAAGAATTTCCACCACTATCTGCTACATGCAGACACTGACTTCCACCGTGTTTTGCTGAGGTCTTATTAGCTTGGGTACGTACAATGGAATAGTTTTTAATGTCCACCAAAGAAACTTTTAGCACCTCCTAGATATACCAGGTAATTTGATTTTAGGATGGAAGATATGCTGGTGTTTCACCATCTCTAAATCAGTGATGTTCAATGGTATTTCAAAAGATCAGTGTTTTAAAAGGTATTTTTTCCATTGGAAGGTCAGCCTCTTGCTTCAAGGTATGACTAAAAGTAAGTTACAAAACAGCTGTAAAAATTCTAAGGTTACTATACCCAAAGAAAGTATTTGAGGTGTTTCATAGCTGAGAACCCATTTTTAATATATAAATCTATACAACACTCATGAGGTAGGAATACTTTTATCCCCATTTTACAGATGGGGAGTTGAGGCACAGCAAGACAGTAAGACTTACCGAGGTCACACAGAGGAGGATGTTCTGAAGCAGAAACTTAACTCTTGCAAGTCCTAAGATAGTGCTCTAAACATTGGCCCACCCTTAACAATGGAATAAAATAGTCAAGATGATAATATTCTGTCTGCTTAACTTTTTGCACTTAAGACTCAAGTGGTTTAGCTTTGGAAGTCTGGATGCAAGGATGTTATTCCCTAATCATCTTAGATGTGTGGACATTTCAGTTTGGTGCCCTTGCAAAATAGCCAAGATTCAGGGCGAGAGAGCAAGATGGCTGCAACAGCTATAAAGTCAACTGCTTTATTTGTAAGAAATGGTAGTGTACCCCAAACTAGTTTTACAGGATGAGGCAAAGTGTGCAGGGGGTGCTGCTCTCAGTGTGGGGGTCATCGGTAATGCATGCTTGTTCCCTTAGCTGCTGGATTTAAACATACTGAATGGGTTGTCTGATGAGAAGGGAAGTGATGGCTCTAGCTATGAGCTTCCTCCAGGCACGCCGCTGACCCAGATTTGGAGCCTTCCTGACAGCCCAACTTTGTCAGCTGCTTGAGACTCTACCAACTCAGGTCTTAAGACTAAGATGGTATTTCTTACTGTTGCCCATTGACTGGCTGTAGAGCTTTATTTTTTAACTTTGTGGAAGGAAGTATTTCAAATACATTGCATCTTTGAGTCACTCTTAAAGCTGATGCTGGAACCTGCACTTTTGTATATAATCATTTTGTTCTTAAAATGCAATCTCTTTTTTATGGAGAGCTTTACTGAAAGCTTTCGAAGTTTGCTTGGAATAAATCAAGTGGAGAATTACTTGAGCTACTCCTTGCTTCCATTTTATTCTTCTAAAGGCATGTCCTGTATATTTAAACTAGGATACACTATTTATAAACTGCCGATGAAAAGACTTGGTAAGATTTAATATTAGCTATAACTTCAGTCTCTCTACACACTTAGAATTAATCATCTGGTAGCTATAGCTTAAGTATGCATTCAAAAGTTAAGAGTGTCCTTTGTGGCTAATTATATTCATAGAAGCTTATTCTTGTTACTTTCTCCTCCTCCACCCCCTTGAACAGATCAGAAACAGCTCAAGTTTACTCCATGCCTATATACCTTTTCCTTTTTATAGCTTTAAGTGCAAATTGTCACTCTTGAAAGGCATTTCCTCTTTCCACGGACAGGTTCAAAACCTGAACTGAGCCCAAATAGAACTTTGCCTGTTTATTAAGGCTTGCTCACACAGCTGCATAACTCAGAATTGAAAGGCTCTAGGTTCCCTCAGAAGTGCCTCAAAACCCCTAAAAGAAAGTTCCATCATTTTTTAAGCCAAAACTGTGCTATTATTCAGTGTGGATGCTTTCATTTCAATAGGCTTTCCAGTCTCTCATCCTTTAAATTAGGGATTCTTTAAGGTTACTACATAGCAGTGCATCTTATGTGGAGCAGCTATACATGAGCTGGTTTCCCCTCCTCTTAAAACAAAAAACTTAAAAGCTTGAGAATAGATTTAAATACTCAGCTTTAGTAAGTTAAAGGCATCAGTATGCTAAAACCTCATCTCAATATCTGCTACCTCAAGCTTGGGGGGGGGGCAGGGATGATGGCTAACAACCCTGACCTTCAAAAAGCAAGCAGAGGGTACAGCCCTAAGCTTCCCCTTTAGTCAGTCAGTCATGCAGTAAGCTACACTAGTAGTTAGCAAATCCAAGTCTTACACCCTTACTCTCCTGCACAGCAAAAAAAACCACAAAAAACCCCCCAAAAGAGGTGCTTCCTAGAACACTTTACCCAATGAAGAGCCAGCTTAGTAACTTAGCCCCATGACACACCAATGACACAACTCCTCACATGTGAATGTAAAACATTTAATTTAAAAATGTTGACACTACAATATATAAAATAGCTATTATAAATGCACATAGTGTATTCTATAGCTGCCAGGTTTACTTTTTTCTTTTTTTTTTTTTTTTAGGAAACTGTAAGTTACACTGTGGTTAAGACTTGTAGTTGCACCCTCTGAAAAAGTCCACATTCTATCACAGTGATGTATGGTCAGACTTAACAGCCCCAATTGTTAAACACTTGGATCAAGTCATAACCAGTTTTATTGCAAAAGGACCCTGTACACATTTATATCAATTCTAGTACCTTACAAGTTTAGCTACCCAACAAGTCATTAACATACAGAAACATGCATGAGAAGCAAGAAAGATCACCCATCCCTTCTGCATATTAGCAACTTGTCACTTCTGAGCAACAAGGCTCACATCACTGAGGTTTATGTGAACAGTCACTTTGAGCATTCATCCTGAGTGAAAGATGGAATGACTTAAGTACAAATGCAACATATTATAAACAATTTCTTACAAAAAAAGTCACAAATTAAAACCAAAGTATTTTACAGAATTTACTACAAAACACCATAAAAACTGCCTTCACTTAAGCTCTCTCTCCCCGTATCCTGCGAGCCAACTGGATGTCTTTGGGCATGATGGTAACTCTCTTGGCATGGATGGCACACAGGTTTGTATCTTCAAAGAGACCCACCAGATATGCTTCACTAGCCTCCTGTTTCAAGGACACAAGAGGGAGAGAGACTTGTTAGGAGCCTTTAGGAAAAACTGCACCTGCTCCCCAAGCTTCCTCAAATTCCCAACCGAAACAGCAGTGAGCCAACCATTCGCAAGTACCTGCAGCGCGCCGATGGCCGCACTCTGGAACCTCAAGTCCGTCTTGAAGTCTTGGGCAATTTCCCTTACCAACCGCTGGAAGGGAAGCTTACGGATCAACAGCTCTGTTGACTTCTGATAGCGACGGATCTCGCGGAGGGCCACGGTGCCTGGCCTGGGAGGAAGGAGAGGGAGAACTTTGAGCCCACGTGGCTGCCTGCCAGTTCTCCTGGCGCAGGCTCTGGTGACGAGTGGCGGGGGCGGTTGAGCACGGCCGTCATCAGGGCCACCCACAATTTCCTTACCTGTAGCGATGAGGTTTCTTGACTCCGCCGGTAGAGGGAGCGCTTTTCCTGGCAGCTTTGGTGGCCAGCTGTTTACGTGGAGCTTTCCCCCCAGTGGATTTACGGGCGGTCTGCTTTGTACGAGCCATTGTCCTTTACTTACCTGGAGAAAAGGAGACGAGCATGAAGCCAATCCCACAGGGATCACACCCCATACCTCCCCACCCCCAGCCGGGATCCTTACCCACCCGCGCACCTTCCTCCCCCCACGCCCTGCACAGATGTTCGTGAGCCGCTCCCCGGGGATCGGAAAGTCACACTCAGCGTCCCCGCCTAGCCCATACTCTCCCCTCCCCCGCACCCCGGAGGAAGAAGCAGCTGAGTCATGGCCGCCCTGCCCCCCCACCGGGACCCACCGCCGAGGCCAGGAGCCACGATCGCCCCCCGCCCGGCCGACACCACGCAGCGCTGGGGGCCCCGGGCCACCCCGCGCCGTACCCGGGCCGCACTCACCGCTGGGAGCAGGAGAGGTACCGGCGCTGTCGTCCGCTGAACTCTGTCCGCGTCCTGCTGCCACCCGCTCTACCGCCAACAACCCCCTCACTGTGCCCTCCCCGCCGTGGGGACCCGTTTTTTATAGTGGGGGCGGCGCGCGGCGTGCTGACCTCACAATACCTGGAAACGGCGCGCCGGCTCATTGGCCCGCACCTCCGCCGGCGCCATGCCGTCACGGGACACAAAGGCCGTGCTCTGGTTTCTCACCGCCGATTGGACGCGGCTCCCGCGGCTGATTGGTTGTTAAAGTCGCGTGCCGATTGGCTCTTGTGAGGCAGGAACAAGCCAATCGGAAGAGAGGCCCGGTCTGCCGAGCTGATTGGACGAAATGGAACATGGTTTGGATCCTACCCTTTGTTGCAAAGCTCCACAATGGAAAGTCAATAGGAAGGCAGCGGCTGCGAGTGTCCCAGGCGCAGCTGGGGAGGGTAGGTGGGGGACAGAGAGCTGTGCAGAGCCGTGCTGGTAGGGGCAGTGGGCTGGCTTCGTGTCGGGATCCCGGCAGCCTCGACACTGCCCCGCAAAAAATGGACGTTGCCAAAAGTGCATTTAATGTGTCCTGCCAATAGCAGCCCAAACAATTAATAATGAATTAACTTCGGGTTCTAGAGCGTTTTGCAGGCGCATCTTTCTAATTAGGAAAGGTTTTTGTCGGGTTTCCCCCCCCTGTTAATCGTTTCATCTCACATGGGCCAGTATCTCAGGTCAGGGCTGGTGGGAGATTGAAATCTTTCAACTCCACTAAAATACCTTGAATTTGGAAAGTGTTTTTAAAGGACTAACCCTGGGAAATTATCAATATTGCCTGAAAAAATAAGAGTGCTCCTTATTAATGGGCACGGGGGTGACCATATTATTATTATTTTTAAAGACTGTTAATAATATAATTAGTTTACTATCATACTTCATCTAGCAAGCCCGGTTCTGGCAAATATTTATATATGAAAATTTAACCCAATATGGTTCTGATTAAGTTCAGCCTAGAGTTTACTGAAGGATTGAGGCCAGGTATATTGCAACAACTTTCATAAACTATACATCACTCTAATTAAGTCCCATAATGCCTTTCACAAACTTAATAACATACGTTTCCTATATCAGTTTTCATATAAAAGGTATATATTAAGCACGTGTGTGTATACATGTGGATATATATGCATATATGTGTGTGTAATCATATGGACAGTATATATGTGTGTGTCGATATAACAATGCAATCATTATAACTATAGATTATATATGCATTGATCCACAGAAACAATGTAATCATTATAACATATGTATTATATGCAGACATATCGTACCTGTATAGTCATCGCCCATGTCCTGAGCAGAGGTACACCACTTTATCAAATAAGAGCTATAATTTAACGAACCATAATATAGTAGCTAGAAAAAGTCATAGAGCTGTATTCCAAACTTCAGTTGCAATTCTAGTAACACATGTAGGTTTAACTGTAAACCTTAAGTAATCCCATTCAAGTGAATAGGTGACATTTGACCCGTATTAGGATAAATAGTTGTTTAATTATTGACTTTAGGGAGGCTAGGAATCCATCAATAAAAGTGTTTATGTGCTTAAAGTTAAGGTTTTGGGTAAGTCTTTGCAGAATGGAAGACCTCACCCTCACTAAGGATGTGTGAACCAAGTAATCAACATTATTGCAAAAGATTGAAATAAAATAAACTAAAATATGCACTCCTTGTGACTGGAAAACACAGCTGCAAAGTTGAGTGTAAATGCATCAGTAAAATGTAAGATTGTATCTTGCCAGTATCAAGGATTACATAGAACTAAATGTAACCGTTTCATGTGCACCAACTGATGGAGAAAATTTTGCAGTCCTTTCTCCAATGGGAGTAGGAATAAGACGAGCATGATCAGGCCCCCGCAGCTCCCATGGATCACAGCAGTGTTTACAGCTCATGAAAGAACAAAACGAAAATGCCTTTCTAATATTGATTCTTGCAAGCAACTGTGTGCTTGCAAAGTGTCCATTTAAAACACAAGTAAAGCTTCATTGATTAAAAACAAGTGAAGGGCAGAATCAGTTCACGAGAGCTTTGGGTTACACAGCATTGCTGCACACATGAAGGTCTGTGTCTTGCTTTGTAGCCTGTTATGGGCAGTTCAAGCCGTGTATACTGACATGGTGCGACAGGATACATCACGTGCTCCAGGGGACAGACTACTGTCTGGACATATGTACATCCTTTCCACCTAACTTCTTCCCTCTGTTTACTTTTCTCTGGGGTTTGTATATAAAGGCAGTTCCTGATGAAAGCAAACTGCAATACAT